CTTCCGATCTATTAGTGTTCCTAAATTGTATCGATATGATATAAGAACTCTTATGCTGGTTAGGTACGATTTAAGTAAGTTGATAGAGATGATAAAAATATTGATATAATTTTTATAACAATTGTAAATATGTATATACAATAAATGTAAAATATGCTATCATAAACTTTCTTTTAAGAAAAATAACGATTCAATTAAAAATTGCATGGTTACATTAGTATCAGCTATATAAATTGATCAAAAATTTACATCAATTGTATCTGATTTTTTTAAATATTGATAGCATGCACAAAACAAGATGTAACCTGTTCATTTTTGTCTATCTTACACATTTCTTATTTACTTCATTTTTGTAACTAAATGTCGCTTCTATTAAGTGGAACTATAAAATATTGAAGAGGTACGCTTTATGAGACTGGTACGCATTTGGCAACTTTCCCTTATTTTGTGGGTCTAGGTCTTCGACAAGTGTCTCAGCTGTGATGATTAGTGTTTCAATAAAAGTATGTTGCTTTCAGAGCATAAAATAGTTATGGTTGGTTTGGACAACGCCGGGAAGACAACGATATTGTATCAGTTCCTGATGAATGAGGTTGTCCACACGTCTCCGACCATCGGATCCAACGTTGAGGAAGTCGTTTGGAAGAACATTCATTTTATCATGTGGGATCTGGGTGGTCAACAGAGTCTAAGGGCCGCCTGGTCCACCTACTACACGAACACCGAGTTTATCATTATGGTGATAGACAGCACCGACCGGGAGCGGCTCGGCATGATTAGGGAGGAGCTCTATTCGATGCTGAACCACGAGGAGTTGAGCAAGGCCAACGTTCTGGTTTACGCCAACAAGCAAGACTTAAAGGGCAGCATGACCGCGGCTGAGATTTCAAGGCAGTTGGATCTGACGTCTATCAAAAAGCACCAGTGGCATATACAGAGCTGTTGCGCCCTCACGGGAGAGGGGTAAGTCGGCCTTCTTGCGCGATTGTGCACTTATTTCTAGTAGAATTCTTACTTTTTACTTCGAATATTCGAAGTTTCGAAAAATGCATTCGTGTAAATTTAATTAAAAAATTAATAATATTTATTAATTTTATGCAGAGTTGGGTAGTGGCTAGTTAAAAAGATAAAAGTTAAGTTAAAAATTTAAATAATTTTAGCTTAACTTAGTTACATTTTAGGCTCTTAACTTTTAACTTAATTTAGTTACATTTTATCGGTATCTATTAACTTTTGATCTAACTTTCTTGAAGTTACATTTTTAGTGCTTCTTGTAAACTCAAAATAAATATCATGTCTAAGTTAGTGTCTTCAAACTCAAATTTGAGAACACACATCAAGGCAATTGTAATAATATAATAAATATAGTCTGACCGCGGGAAGGAATCACTGTTCGCGGACCTTCTG